ATCTAACATTAAGAACCCTTAGCAAGCATAGAAACAAGTAGATCTGGTAAAACACACCTTAACTCTTCACTAATCACTTCAGATCTACGTAACCCATGGATTCAAGAGGACTCTACTCACTAGTTTTCATGATAGATTTTAAACACATGTTAAGCTCAATACAAATCATGTTTAGAAAGATAGATAAACACTTAATATTAAAGATTGAAATGACAAATATAATAAAATAGTTTAAAAGTGATCTTTAGAGAGAAAACAAGATTGGAACTACGATAAAACTTAGATAATTAGGGTTTTGCTCGTTTAAACATATATATAGGTCTTCTAAAATTAGGGTTCAATGGGTAAACGCTATTTTTCTCGTGACTATTTCGAGAAAGTGCGTTTGGGAAAATTGCGTTTGCCGTTTGCGGCCTATCTTCTTCTCCGTTACGCTTGAACTCCTCTGCCACCAGCCATGTAATCTCCTCTCCGCAGGCTCATTCTTCGCCGGAGCCATCCATGTTGTGTATTCACCGTCGTGTATTCACCGTCAAGGTCTCGAGATTACTTGGTTTCTTCAGTTCGATGAAGGTTAGGATCGAGGGAGGCAAAACAAGCAAGCGGCGTCTCCTCATTTTGATCGTTTCATGGCTTGCGGAGAAGGAACTCTAAGCTTAGACCGAGGGGATTAAGCGACCAAACATGGCTATGCCCATTGATCGATTTGTTCTTTACAGACCATAACTGCAAGCTTGGAACCGAGAGATGTAAAGCGAGTGTGGTGACCTTCAGGAGTGGTTGATTCATGTGGCTCGAAGAAGTAGGAGCTTGAAGCTTCGGTTTGGGACCGAGAGTGTCTAATCGAGCGTACGTCTTCTTCGAATCGAGCACTTCATCATCTTCGGGGATTAACAGAAAACTTGGCTTCGAGAGCATCAGATCGAACGGGGTAATCCATCGGAGTGATCGGTCTGTTCATCTCGGGTCGAAGCTTGTACCGAGTAAGATGGATTGAGCTCTTCGTCTTCTTCACATCGAGTGCTGGGAGCTTCGTGTTTCAGACATGGCCACTTCCTGCTAAATTGTAGGATTGGTCCATGTATTTTTCCCTTTTTAGAATTTGACTGCGAAATTTGGTGCATAAATGTCCATGATTTTGCCAAAGAACTTCTACTTGTGCAATTCAGCCCCCTGTCTATGCAAAATGTTCAAATGCAACACATAATAACTCCTAAATGCAATTCCTAGCCATTAAAATGATTAAAAACAACAGTGAAAAACATGTAAAATAAAAATGCTATACATCCTCAGTCCACCAGTGGGTGATCAAGCCCATAAACATCTCCTTGTATAGATAGGTTCCATATCTATTTGGCTGGTGAAACTCTTATTCTTATCTTGCCTTGTAAGCAAGCAACATATAGTAGATAATTCATTAGAATCTTGTAGTTCTTCAATGAATGTCCATATGCTTATCTTTCACATCATTCTAAATCGGGATGGCATAACCGGTTTGCCAAACATTACATTTTTGGTAAGCTTATGGTTTACTATTACATTTATATCCATTTTTTAATCATTGTGTAGTACAATACAATAGTGCTTTTGACAGTATTTTTGATTTAAGCTATTTAACATTTCTCTTTATTTATTGTCTCAATATTATTAGATGCTAAATCTATTGGTTTTATTATAAATGACTTCTTAAGTCTATTTTCAGTGTGAACATATTTTCGGAGGTTCACTTATCAGGGATTCTCTAATTCTCAATTTCCAGAGGTTCCACTTATCATGGATGTGCGATTTTCCAATTTCCCCCCTCGAGGTAATAACATATAGGTTCATTTATTTCGAGTTCATGAATCCCACTATAGAATCAACAACATACTCAACTTAAGGTCATGTGTTACATCTTAGATCATTTTGACTTTTAAGACTTGAGAAAGTATAAAGTAGTAATGATTTCACATTGCGTTCTCATAGGTAATCACAAATTTTCTCTTCTAGAAAAGTCAGTAATTTGTATACTATCACATATATGTACTTCCAGTAGTTTTCTTGCATCTTTAGATGATATATATCTTGTTTATTTCCATCTTTATTTCGTATTTTCAAGTGAGAACATGAGTTCTAAACAAATTAAAACTTTTACGTCTTGACATTAACTTTATTCATATGCATCATTTAAAAAAAATATTTTTAAACTTAGCATCCAACATAGTTGAACTTTATCTAAAAACTCTACGTATTATAATCTATGCAAAATACATAATGAAATTTGGGTAATAACATTCTAGTGATCATATTTCTCTTTGGATTGTTTTCAAAAACTTGTGGATCTTTTAAAGTCAAATCTTAAACTCAAAATCTTTATATATACAGTGGTAATAAAATATAATCATACAACTATTTCAAAATATTGAGATAAGCATTATCATCGACATTTTATTATATTAAATAAATAATACTTTTATAGTAACTTTTTTTAGTATCATGTCAATAACCATTTCTATGTCAATCATTTTTAAATAAGCATTCAAATAGAAATCAAATGACATTTTCAAATTAATTTATCTTATCAAAATTTAGTTGACTATAAGTTAATGTTAAGCATAACTATAAGATAATATTTATCTCGTTAAAAAATAAGTGAAACAGAAACTGGAAATCTGACATGACGAGAGTCTTTAAAACACATTTTCAGCTCTCTATAATTTCGTGTAAAACAAAATGTATAAACCTGAGATATTCACAGATTTGTTAATGACACATGGCAACATAGATGTTAGACATCAATACTTTTAATTCCACATAATTAAACTTTCAAGTGTTAATCAAAGAGACAATTGAACTTATTACAAAAGGAGTTCAAAGTAGAAGAAAATTCAGAGTATGCATGTCAGACAAAGCTATACGTCAACATTAACTCTTAATTTTCATATTGTAAAAACACTCAAAAGCATTCAGTCTTAAACTTTGATTAGAAAACAAACAATTTTCTCTCTCATATAATCAAACTAGGGTCGGCCCGCCCTACGGGCGGGATATAATGTACTTGTGATTTAGGTTATTATTTTTTGTATAATTTGGTGGTTTTTCTTTAAGATTACATTTGTAAGAGATACATATGGTAATTATTTTTTGTCTTTTAGAAATTTTTAGGTGAGAAAAGATTATACGTGATAAAATATATTTTGCTTGTCTACCGTAACTATTTCTGTATTAAATAGTTATGACATTATATGTTGTGAGGGATTCAAAATGTTGTTATAATTTTTCGATTTGTTATGGTTTATATATTTGTTGTTATAATTTTTTATTTGGTGTGTTTCGAATGGAATGTATATTGGTGGTAATGATTGTTGTCATTATTGGTTGTTAGTGTTGAAAAATATAGTTGTTATGTAAATATATTTTTGTGCATGGTAAAATGTGATTTCTTCCTCTTCCACGTCTTTTAAATGTTTAAGTTGTAGCTCAGGAAGTAAAAGAATTTTGGTGAGTTATGGACACTGAGAACGTTACTTGCATAAGAAATTATTAATTGTGACTAACCTCCTGATTCCTGATAATATATGTGTCGATTTAATTAGTAGATCGAAGGAGCATCCGGGTTTACCGAGCTAATCGTGTTCCAGTTACTGTATGTGATAGATCATGTTAGACAGGATACATTAGATGGAAGTTTTATATAAACTTGAAAATTATAAATGTGAATGCAGTAAATAGCAATGTTCTAATGAGACTCTTAATCATTTGGTGGAAAGTTCTATATATTCTCGATACTTTTTGTTTATTTTTCAGAAGAAAAAAAAGCATGGTAGACAACAAATATGTACTTGTTGGTGAATGATAGCTGAAATTCTCAAGTGTCCCTTGAGAGAGATACTGAGCATCTAACCATGGGAGTTTCTGTTTGCATGCCTTGGATGGATTGATAAATTCGCATAATTTTCTAGGAAACATCAACCCAAATATTTTTTTTAAAGCAACTTTAGGTACCTGAGATGAATTCATCGTCAACGTCCGTATCACTGTGTGAGTCCGCGTTTATGATACGACGACCTTCGTTGATGTTGATCTGCTTGCCGTTAACAACATTAGCTCTTTTCGTGGCTGCTTTCTTGACCATGTCTGAGTACTGTTGCTGTGATTTCAATGTTAACAGATTCTCTGAGTTTATTAGATGATGGTTAAGGATATGAGGTGAGCTAAACGGTGAGTGACGTAGCATGGACTGTTTTTGGTTTGAGTGGAAATGATTTTATGAGCAAGTAAATATACCAACTGTATATTTGTAAACCGCAAGGGTTAACAAAAAGGTACTAACTTGCGAGTAACGCAACAATTAAATATCATGTTTTAAAATTCAACTCTATTTAAAGTGACTGTACATGATCATCATTCTCTATTGTAACATGAATTCTTTAAATGTTAAGAAAATCATGAATTCTTTAGTTATTAATCAACTCTAGATAACTACACAACAAAAATATCAAATTATTAAAAGAGTTTGATTTTCAGACTGAATTAAAAAATCAAATAAAGAAGATGAAGTCGTTAGTTTTTTATATGACACCAAAATACTACTGAAATTCATTTAGAGAAACAACCTAACATTAATAACCAACATTAAAATTTTATTATTATTAAGATGAACAATTTTTAATTCCACTATTAAATTTGTGAGCAGTAAACCCAAACTTAGTGAGGTGGGAAAGCTTTGATACAATTCACAAACGCTTTATTTACGCTGCTCTGTTTCTCAGAAGTCTATTTACGCTGCTAATTACTTTGCACTCTAGTCTCTATCAAATGTTCAACATTTATCTGATCAGATGCTTGTAAAAGATAGTATATTTATAACTGTTTTTATCTAACGCTGCAATCTTCTTTGATTTTGAGTTACCATGTGTGTGTGTTTGCAGGAGAGAAGACGAAATTATTAAAGAGGATGATGATCAATATTGCTGTTTCAGGTGCTACATGAATGATATCTAACCTCTCTTCAAAGTGAGTTACTCCTTTTCAAATATTGGACTGATGAATGGTTTCCCGGGTGTAGGTTGCTTCTGGTGCAATATTCGACCATACCAGCCCATTGTTTTGAAACTTCTTGGGTCAGAGATATTAATCCAAGCTCTCGAAGGTTTCGCAATGGAACTGGAGGATTGCTTGTTGCCCTGATTGGTGCAAAACCTCGAGGCCCTGGAATAGGCAGTTGCATCTGCTAACGTCAAGGTCGTTGTAGTGGGAAATCCTTGCAACACCAAGTGTTCCAATAAAATATATATTATCGCAAATATAAAATCATTGACTTATAGAAATTACTGAAGAAGGAGGGGTTTAAGCGTTCAATACCTGAGAATATGTCTCTGTTTTGTAACTCCCTTTGAAGAAGGCATGGTGGTTGTTGATCTTGAAGCTTCCTGGTTCAAAAGAATGCATATACATGATATTGAGAAGATGACAGTAACTAATGATACACAAAAGTCAACATAAGAATCCAAAGGAGCCTTCTCAACTTTCATCACATACACCATCGGATCCACCGCATCTTGTAAAATCCCAACAACCGAGAGAACCTAGCACAAAACCCATTGAAAGACATACTGCAAGCACAACAAAGATCTAATCTAGAAAACCCAAATAAACATACCTTATTTTGCATCTAGGCTCGAGCTGATCTTTATAGACGAAAGACAATATCCACACTTGATATTTTATCATTCAACCCTCGAGTTACCAACGCTCATCGGTGTACGACGGATATCATCGTTGACTGAAAGTGGTGAGCCGGTGAACACATGCTGGCTGGCATGACAGTCGCCTTAAACAAATATGGGAAACCATCAGCATCAACAAACGGTTTCATAATATACCATTCAAAGAGATTCATTGAAATCTAAATTTATGAGTTTCATACATATGGATGTGAAAGCCGGAATAGTGAAAAAATATTATAGTTCTGAGATTCAATTACCTTACCACTGCTTTCCTAGCTTCCCAGAATAACAGCCTAACCTCGATGGTGGAACAACAGCTTCACCATCCACTCTTCAAATCACCAAGAAGAACATATGTATTAGCCATTATTCTGCAAATACGTTTTCTAGGTTATCAACAAATGTGAGGATGATTTTCAAGGAATGCAGGATTACCTTTATATAGATGGAGAACCACCGCCTAGAATTGTGATAATTATCATTGAATGAATTTTTGTGCTTGATTTGCATTGATGGAGTGTTTCTTAAAGACCATGAATCAAGAGATCCCGTAACGTTTCAGAGGGGACGAACTGAAGACGATTCGGCACTATCGACATAGCACAAAGATTCTATTCACGACGGTTCGTCAATCTCGACACTATCGACATTTTTGGTTTACATATGGAAAAAATATGCTGAAAGCCTAAATTGTGGGATACACATCTGGTGGATGAACCTCAATTGTTCTAGTGGGCTGGATACTTCACATTCTGAATATGCAAATTAAAGCCTGGCAAACCCATCAAAACTCAAAAAAGAAGCGACCGGGTTAATGAAATGCCATGTGGCAAGTTGTAAGAAATTGATTTAATGACGTGTCCTCTCCTATAGGGAGGAAACTATACTTTATAGTAATAGATGTTATAGTAATAGATGTGATTACACAAAAATTCAATATAAAGTCATGCTAGCAAAGGACTTTAACTTCATAGGTGTTACTTTCAATGTGTGACTCAAATATCATATGTATGTGCTATGAAACAAATTTACAATATTTATACAGCACTTGACGCATAAGCAAATTTGTATTATTTCGACTTAACTTGGTCAAGTCTGAGCATATATTGTATAGTCTAAATATTTAATTGCAATGAATTTATGTCAATCAAATACTCAGATCCCATAAAAATAAAAAGTAAATAAAACTTATCTTGTTGACAAAAAAAAATAAAACTTATCTTAGTGGGCGTGGAAGAAGGAGATGACACCACATATTTACGTCCTTCCGGCTAGAGTCCAACGTGATTATAATACCAAAGGATTCAAACTAAAGCGATAAATAAATCAAAGTTTGGATGTATAAAATAGACAGTATCTCAGCTCTGAAAAAAAGACGGAGAAATAATTAAGAATTCTAACTTATACGATTAGGTAAACCGTCCCAAAACAAAACAGGAACTAAACTATCAACATAAACAGCCGGTTATGAGAAGATTTATCTAATATATTATAGAAAATATTAAATAAACATCTTAAATAAACACGAGTCCCAATAAACATACTCCTACACATCCCTTATATATATTAAAGGAAAAACATTTAAAAAATTATAACCTCAATTTTGTAATAATTAAAAAAGACCTCATGCTTAGGTGTCACTCCATTAGGTAGTCAATTACATTCAATTGAAAAATAAATAGGTCCACATTCGATTTTTATATGTCGCTAGACACATTCGTTGGTCAAATTATATGATATGATATAATATTTATGATAGAAGCATTTATGATTGTTCCCCTAGATATAATTACTATTTTATTTTCTTTCCATAAATAAAACTTACAGAATTACCATAAATGAATAATATATATATGACACTTAATAATTCTAATAATAAATATTTGATAACAGTTTATATATCCTCCATCATTTTTCTTTAATTTATATTATTAAAATAAATTAAACAATCAAATTAGCTATAAAATTAAACTTTAGATTTTTTCGTATAGGTTATATTTTGAATTTTTAAAAACAAGAATAAATAACTAAACTGTTAAAATTATTATGTTAAAAATTAATGATCAATAGTTTAAAATTTTTATTATAAAAAGATATACATGATTTTAAAACCATATAAGTAAAAAGTATCATTCAATAACAAAACAAATATATATACAGATTAAACTATATAATTGCGCGGAAACTTTTTATGATTAAAAATTTATATAATTGCGTTTTGTCTTAATTTAAAGAATGTTTTGATATAAAATCAGTTCACCAAAATTTTTGGTGATGATTGTTCTTCATTAGTTTTTAGTTTCAGTTTTTATTTTTAGATTTTGGTTTTTGGTTTTTAGTTTTTAAGTTTCTACTTTTCATTTTCAGTTTTTGTTTGAGTTTTTAATTTTTAGACCCGCTGAGTTAGTTTGAACTGATATTACCAACAAACAAATCTCAAATAATCGAACATCTAATTTAAAACTGAAAACATGACAACAATTTTTTTTTTAAAAAAATTTGAAATAGTTTATTTTGTAAATAAACAAAGCAAAAAATATAACATGCGTTTTAAGCCTTTGGTTTTGGATTTTAGTTTTTAGATTTGGTTTTTGGTTTTACTTTACATTTTTTAAAATCAGTAAATTATTTAAGAAAAATAAAACAATAATTTATTTAAAAGTTACCATTGAAATTTATCAAACAAAGTGATTGTTATTTAAAATAAAAAATACATTAACATGTTTAAAGTACATGATTTAAATAAATGATTAATAATATATAATTTTTTGTTAAAAATATTAAATACCTTTTGGGTCTGAAAATAATAATTGATTTTTTGATCTATTAAGGTGAAAATTTTATTTAATGTTTTTTGGAGTTTTTGCTTAATAATAAGTCCAAAAACCAAACTATATAATTTGTCCAAAAAATAAAAGTAAGCCCAAGACTATATTCCATAAATAACCACGGCTTTAATTTAAGTATAATTAGTAGATTTCTATATTCCGTATTTTGATGATATATATTCGTTTAGAAAATTCTATATTTGTGGGAGAAAATATGTGTTTTCGGTATACACATAGATATCTGCCATATTTTGAAGGTAGTTTACATTAAGGTCGTATTTTTACATTAATTGTGTTAGTTTAATTTAAGTAATGTGGTTCAATCAATTATATGACTTATATTATTAGTAACACTCTAGAAAATAGTCCAAATTTAAATGACAACTTGTATTGGTAGATAAAAAGAATGACTCTATTTTAATAGAATAGATTCATACTTATACGATTAGGTAAACCGTCCCAAAACAAAACATGAACTAAACAGTTAAACCTCTATAAATTAATAATGTCGGGACTTTGAAATTTTATTAATTTATAGAGATATTAATTTACCAAAATTTCCTTTTTTAGATTTTTTATTTTAAGATATATTTATTCTAAAATAAGAAAAATATTTTATTTTAGTGTATTGATATTTATTATCAATTTTTGAAATTTGACATTTATATTAATTTTCTTTCATTATTTGGTGTATATAATATATATTTCATAGAATTTAAATATGGTTTTAGATACAATATTACTAAATCTCATCAACAATATATTACGTGTCAAGAAAATAGAAAGATAATTCCACTGTAAATATAAAACAAACAATATGATAATAGGTTCTTACTTATATAAAATAAATAAAAATATAAATTATTAATTTATATTGTAATGGGAATATATATTTACATAGAACTTTCTAAAAAGTTATTATCTTATTATTTTATCGATTTGTGTTAAATTTTGAACCGGCCCAAGTTGGAACCGATAAAATTTATTAATTTAGATAGATTATTAATTTATCGAGTATTAATTTATAGAGGTTCTACTGTATCAACATAAACAGCCGGTTATGAGAAGATTTATCTAATATATTATAGAAAATATTAAATAAACATCTTAAATAAACATGAGTCCCAATAAACATACTCCTACACATAGCTATATTAAAGCAAGAAGAGCACAAGAGAAAGTTAGTGCTCGACTGAAAAAAAAATCTATGAGTCACCAAGTATGACGAAAACTCTCAGACTAATTATTAATTATACCAATTTAAACCAATATATATTAAACCAGACAATTAAGAACATGCAAAAGATCACAGTTTGATAAGAATTATGATTTTCGTATTTTCAACAAAGCATATATGGGTCAAGAGCATATCTGAAAACAAGAACAATTTATACTCTAGTAAACATAGTTTTAGAAGTATGTCTTATCTGTTAAATGAATAAAAAAGTTATACTAATTGAACGATCTATTTTCATATGTGCACTGAATTTAATTTATAATCGGTTACACTGAGATGATATAGCATAAACAATGAAATATGTAATCATATCATATCTGTATTATATACTAGAGATTTTACCCGGACCACGACCGGGATTAGATAAATATATCCCATTTGGTATATAATTATTTTAATTTTTTTAAAAATATATTGTACATAGAATTTAGAATGCTTGACACTTAAATTTAAAGTTGCTGTCTTTTGATTATAAAAAAATATAGGAAGATGAAATGCTGATCAATAAAAAGTCAATTATAAATCTAAATATTTTTATCTGACATGTTTGGATTCTCATGAAAAACATGTTATTAGTCACTATTGATCCTGCTCAAAAAACACTATTGATCCAAACTTATGTACAGCTCATAGTTTCAATAAAAAAAAATACAGTCTTTATTTGTACTTTTGGTTTCAATAAAAAAATACACATAGTCTTTATTTATATATTTTGGCTCTTTTCTAATTAGATCACAACTCCGAGTTTATCA